AAAGCAGCTGTGGGACTTTACATCAATAGAGGAAGATAGCACAGCAAGCACAACTTGTGGGTGAAATTCAGGATAATAATTCTAACATAGGATGTCTCTTGCATCACCTTATTAGCATTTTCCACTCAGATGTATCGCAGATTGAAATACTTGAAATAAATCATTGGAAGTACACGCCTTTAACTACGGGTATCTTTTCCAACTTCAACCACCTTCAGAAATGGATGTTATCATACATAGTACAGGCTAAGATATTTAAGCACATTTCAATGAAAAGTAGCAGTGAGCTTTTTTTTTGTTTTGGATTCAAGTCCTCACATATTGCCATTATGGAAATACTAACAGCAGATCCACCATGAAGGGACAACAGCTCCACTTGCTTCCCAAGTCCTTCTCTTGATCCCAGTCAGTGTGATAATGAGAAAGACGAGAGTTTTGCACTAGAGAAAACACATCAGGAAAGTGGCAAATTACATATGGCTTTACACTGACTGATTTGAAGGCGCAGTGTGTAGCACACTCTGAAAGCACCAGCTGTTGAGTGTAAAACACTTGACACTGCTGAGATATTTGGAAGCTAAACATCTTACACTGAAAGAGAAACTTAAGGAACTTTCAATCCAAGAAAATCTGAAGCCTCAGAGGGAAGAATCAAACTGACAATATCAATATGAAGGGAGTTCAGCCTTCTTACTTTTCATCTCTTTTGAAAAGAGCAGCACTCTTTTCAAAAGCCAGTGTTGCTGGAGGTCTTTGCACAGTAGCCAACTTCAACATGCAAAGAGCCATAAGCAACAGTATCATGAAGTCTTGTCCCATTGTGCCAGCTTACACTAGGCTAATGTGTCTATCAGTGCCTTCTTTCATGCTCCTGACAAGCTATTACTCAGCTACTCAGCTACATAACTGATAGGTCAATTGTAGTCAGCTTTGATTTGTAAGCTGTCTACCCTGAAGTTACCATTTTTAAAGTTATGTTCCGACTCAAAGAAATGTTTACTTCAAGAAGCATTTTTCACGTTTTAAGACTCGCAAATTTTGACACAGTAAGAGCTAATGAAAACACATGTATGAAATATCACAGTTACAGCAGTTACTTACCAAGGACCTCACACAAACAAACTTTTACTCACAAGTCCATACAATTACATCATTTCACACACACTATCAGGGGCTTGATAGCAACATTTCTGCCTACAAGCTTGTCAGGCAAACTGTCCATGTCCAGGCAGTCTCCATCAGCAATTCTGAATGTAAAAATTTGTCCTGGGTTCAGCAGCAACAGTCATTTTTTCTCCTTCTCAGTAGCTGGTGCAGCGATGTGTTTTTGACTTTTGGCCTGGGAACAGTGCTGATAACACCGATATTTTTAGTTACTGCTCAAATGTTTGGTCTGAACAAGGACTTTCTGAGCCTTATGCTCTGCCAGGGAGGAGGGAAAGCTGGGAGGAAGCAGAGACAGGACACCTGACCCAAACTGACCAAAGAAGTCTTCCATACCACAGCACGTTATGCCCAGGATGTAACTGGGAGTTACCTGGAAGGGGTGGTAGACTGAGGGGTTAGACTAGGTATTGGTCGGTGCTGGGTCGGGCTGGGGGGGGTGAGCTATGGTTGGCGGGTGGTGAGGTGTTGTATTCTCTTCCCTTGTTATTTCTCTTATCATTATTATTATTGGTGGTAGCAGTAGTGATTTGTGTTATCCCTTAGTTACTAAATTGGTCTTATCTCAACCCGTGGGAGTTGCGTTCTTTTCTTTTGATTCTCCTCCCCATCCCTCCCGGAGCAGAGGAAGGGATGAAAAAGGCGGAGGGAGAGAAAAACTGTGTGGCTGGCTTGCCGACAGGGCTTAAACCAGGACAACCTTTCAGAACACTTCTCTCCTTTTCACCCGCAAAGAAAGGCACAGTGATTTTTATGTGACAACAACCATTACAAACATTACAGCTCAACCTAGCCGAACTTTTAAGTTAATTTTCCAGCAAACTTAAGCAAACCATGACTGTAATCAAGGATTGCAACTACAAAATGGACTTAAAGTTCTGCTTTCCACCAAACCCCCCAGCAGTCTAACAAGCAGATGACTCACTGCAGATATATTACTAAACTTAAGAAGTTGCTATTTGTGAACATTCACAGGAATCAGAAAGTAATTGTGAGGTAAACAACAGCTGAAAAATCAAAACTAAAAGATAGTAAACCATACTCCAAACTGTTCACAAAAAGTATGACAACAAAGGGTGGGAGGAGGATAATTTTTGGTCGTTTACCTTTTTACACATTCTCTGCTGATGGATTAAAGGAGCCAATGAACAAAGTTTGTTGACATTCAACTACCAGCATCAAAAACAAACCAAGATCACCACACAGCATAGCCCCCACCATGGGAAGCTTAAGGGTTCCTCTGACATCTCTTACCTAGGAAACTTTTCAACCTGTTATCTTAAATGACTAATCTTTGGTAAAGCATTTAAAAATTAAGTGCAAATAAGATTAAACTCTTAAAAAAATACTCTTTAGAACAGAAGATCACAGAACATTAAGAAGCTAATAAACAATACAAACTGCTGCTGCTCCACCTTTTTCCTCTAGGAATGATTACTAGTCTACCCAGCCCAAATCTTCAGTAATTTGCACAAAGCACAGTATTGATTTATTTAAAGCACACAGGGGGGCAGGAGTGCTTTAGCATCATTTGAAAGAGAAGCCTCAAAAAAGCAATGGCTGCTGAAAAACATTTACTTCATTTGTAAAAAACAAACAGACAGAAAGCACACAAAAAAAAACAACCAAAACAACCCACAACTGAATCGCCAAAGTCCCAAAACTTGTGACTAAACCCTTCCCTAGATTACACATTCATTTTAGCATATAAAACAACAGCCATTAATAATCTGCATTTCCTTGTTATTAGTAATAAATATGGCCTCACAACCCATTAAAGCTAATGAGTCTATCTTGGGTTCTTTATGCATGTTATTATTATAAATAATAATGGTGACTTTAATACAGGTTTACACAAGGGCAAACTTTGACCTTTTGATATGTTTGTATTCCCAAAAATGTAACATACAAACAAACAAAAAAAAAATCAAAAAGCATTTATTTGCATATCAAGTGGGGTTCTCTTCAAGCAGCAGATCAATGACTGTCAAGATGTACTTAGGAATGTTATCACACCTTTTGAAAAATTGAGTTTATTTTCTGTATGCAGTAAACCTGCTCAGCTATGACACTATTTTGCAAGAGAGGATTCCTCTTAATGGCTAAGAGGAGATTAAATACGATTGGCCGGAGTGTAACACAAGGTTAGCTGCTTTGTTGTACAATGAATTTAGGGTAAAGCCTCCAACAGATACACTATCAACTTTGAAGGTTGCTCTTAAACACATCAGTGTTGTCTATGAAGTAGCAGTTCATTTTGATTCCTTTAATTGCAAGACAGTATATTACTCAAAAAATCAAAACCACAAAACAATGTAAGTTTCTATCCAGAGATACTATGCTTTGCAAACAAAACCACAACACATTCCTGATGAAACTTGACATGGGTTTCCACAGTAACAACAAAAGCAAGTCTATGATGAAAGCTCAATGTAAAGAATTTGGTTAATTAAAAACTAATTATATTTTAAGGCCATTTCATTTTCTCTATGAATCTTCTGTACAGTAACAGAAATTGCTTGTTGCACATTTTAACTGAAAACGCCTCATGCACAAGCACTTTTCTGGGGACAGACTCTAAGAAAACAAAGCTACTGCTATAAGAGAATTCAGGAGCAAATTCAACATTGATTGTTAGTGCTACTCATAAGCTTTAATGTACCTTTTTCAATCACACACTAATACAACGTCTTATAAAATACACCAGTGAAGTGTTCTGAATACAAGAGAAGAAGAAAAGAGAACAAAGGAAAGGGAAAAATGACAAACTTTTTATTTTGTTTTCTGTTTACATTTAAGTGTATCTCTGCTTCTTACAAAGTCCTTTAAGAAAGAAGTCCTCTGACCTAAAGACAGTAACCAAATAAATTAACCATAGAAATTGGCAGTCTGTGAAATAGTCACACATACACAAACTCAAAGCAGAAGAAAAAAAAACCCTGTTGAAGGACACACGTGTAACTTGCCCAAATAAGAAAGGTCAATAGATAAAAACACTGTGCTAAAAAGAATATGGCAAGATTTCATCATTTTTAGTAAGAGGTAAATAGAATCTTTATACAATTCATACAAGAGTTAATTAACTCTCTGAATACAAAGCCAGCAACTAAGCTATGATTTACAGCAAACTTATAGTTAAAAAGACCTGGAAATCCTTAACCACAACTGCATTCACTCATTAATACAGCCGGTTACATACTGCAGTCAATAACATACCCACAAATTGCTTACAGCAATTATTGTTAAATAGCAATTCTGTATTTAAAATGGGATTCCAATTGAATTGGACTGGAATTGCCACATGGATGCTACAGTAATGGCAAAAGTAACAACGAAATCTGCTCAAAGTCATGGTAACTTAGAAAATACCTTATTTCAGAGAATAATCATGCACAATTTCAGTGTTCAAGGAAACCTTGCAGGTTCTGTGCACCCTTCCATAGAGAAGGCTTTTATTACAAGACACCACTGAGGTAGAATAAAGAAGCCTGACAAAAGCTCACGTTCATGCAAGCTCTATAAAAGTGATGACCAAAAAAAGAAAAAACTTGGATCTTGGCTCCAGCCTGATTAAGCAGAGCAGTTTCTACAAAAATAACAAACCTACTTCAAAAGCTTGAGAGTGCCAATGTCAAGATTGTTATGATGAGGTGCAAGCTTTCCATTTTTACTATTAAAAATATTGTGCTTGTGTTGATCAACAAACTCCTTAATGTTTTGTCCCCTTATGACCTATATAAAAGACCGCAAGCCTGTTCTTCAAATTATACTAAATCCCACTTCCCAAATTCTTAATTACTGAAAAAATGTACATGTTTCTGTACAAAACTGCTTACCCATCCTGAGCTTTGGTTTCTGCAGTGTCTCTATGCCAGAGCTCCAGACTTCATACCATTCATGCGCTTGGAATAATAGTAGATGCACTCTTTTAGTATGCTGAAGATTCCTTTGTATCGCTGAAACAGGACGCAAATGGTATTTTTCTTTAGAATCAGCACAACGCTCTACTCTTTCAAAACTAAGAAATAATGGGCCATTATACACTTTTAGGTAAAAGTAAACTGCAAAACAATACTATGTAACTACACTTCTAATAAGGAAAAAGACTGGTATCAGCCTAAGAAAGAAAGGCTTAGGTCTTACTTGCTTTATTCTTGTTTTCCTCCCTACAGCAAAATGGAATGAGAGCGAAAGGGTTTAATTTATTGTATTTCTCCTGTCACAGCTTGCCCTTCTTCATCACAGCTGGGACTAATCAAGGTCTGACTGAAATAACCTGGGCATCCTACCACATAAATGCTTTAAACCAGAAGCCTATAGTAATTTCAGAGTATTTTTTCTTAGTAGTAGATATTAAAGTTATATGTGTCTTTAAATGTGGTAAAAAAAATTACTCTATATTATGATTAGCAGCAAGATTCCTTCCTGATGATGATGTATAGTAAAAAACATATAAAAATGGGAAAAAAGTATATTCCCCCCCCCATACTAGGAAAAAAGGGATGGGCACGTTATTACAATGCAAATTCATAAGGCACTATGACATGCATTCTTAAATCCATAACAGATCCCTGTATGAAAAGTCTGCTCATGTTCCTATTCTTTTCCTCAGGTACTCAATGATCTGAAAACTGTTGTGCTGTAGTCCTGTTCTTCCGTAAACCTCTCTTCTGTTTACTGGCTAATTACATGTGAACAAACAGCCTAAAACATCACATGCTGTAATAAAGAGAAGAATGCTCCCCCAGGCTTTGGGTTTCCCTTTGTCACCTTTTTAAAAACACAGACACATATTTCCCCTCTTCCATTTCTTTATGTTATTTTCACACCACCAAACTAACACAGATTAGTTTTTAAAGTGCTATCCCCTCCTGTTCTTAATAATTCAGTGGGAACATTATCAGCACCTGGTGCTCGATTATTCCTGGGTGTTCTGCTCGCCTCTTGGTTCTTCGACAAATGGCTCAGCTGGCTGGAAAATTGCTGTTTGCTTGCCTTTATCCATTTCACCATTAAAAAGATCATTAAAATACTCCCTCTGTCTTTCTGTAATTGCACTCTTTGTAACTAAGATTTTCATTTTTGTCCTTTATCTGACTCATGCACAGTTCACATCCTTGTCTCAACTGCTGATATCCCAGTAAATTGGTTTGAAGTTATTACACTGCAACTTAAGCTGCACAGAGCCATTTTTGTGCCATACTATCTTTTTGGTGAAACATCTGCACTGCTAGAAGACACAAAAAGGAAGTCACAGAATTCTCCACCACATATTGCTTTCTTGTACTTCCCATCAAAAACTGACTTTTCCTGGACTCCTTTTTATTGTTTTTTCCTGCTCTTTTCTTTACTCCGAATGTTTTTCAGCTGTATAAAACTGTTGGACAATGATTCCACTTGTATCCTTGGTGTTCAGGTTGTATTTTGTTTCTCAAAGGCACATGGTACACTCAGAGCTTCTCCCTTCACTAAAACAACTTAGTCATTCTTTTTACAAAGCAGTAGCATATGTCTGAAGCATTTACCTTCAGAAGATTTGTTCACTGACAACTTCGAAGTATCTGATAATTACTGGTAATTTTCACATATTCATTGCAAAGGACACAGATGTTAACTTTAGATTTTAAAGCATCTTTTGTAGGACATGGAATGGCAGGTGAAACTGTATATGCATCACACATATAAGCAGCATGATAAGGTCTACTCAGACTTTATAATTCACTTGGAAAGATACTGTGGAAATCCCATGTATTGCTGTGTTCAATTTTATAACTCCATATGAATAAAGCAGTGTCCAAGGTAGTTTCTAGATTCCTCTGTCAGTAAGTTGACAAGGTAAGCAGGCATTTCTAAATGTTAATGCAAGCTGTCTCTTTTCCAGTGCTTGAGAGTTGCTCTTCTTACACGATTCTACATGCTTAAGTCCTTCATGTACAATGACACCAGTAAGTTGTTCACACAGGAAAACCCTAGCAGCGCTGCCTGTATTTATGGGCATCCAGAATCCCTCATAACAAAAGCTGTGGATTAACTCTCATTGTGAACTGCAAAACACGATGTGCTTCCTTACAAAATTTTATTATGAAGTATGCAAACCACTGTGCTTCTTCATACTTATGGTAGAACGGTTTGGGTTAAAGGAACCTTAAAGCTCATTCAGTTCCATCCCGACACGGACATGGATGCCTTCCACTAAGCAGGTTGCTCCAAGCCTGTGTGTCCAACCTGGCCTTAAACACAGCTTCTCTGGGCACCCTGTGCCAGCACCTCAGCACCCTCACAGGGAATACTTTCTCCCTTATATCTGATAGAAATCTCGTCAATTTAAAGCCATTCTCCCTCATCCCTGCAGGCCCTTGTAAAAAACCCTTCCCCAGACATCCAGGGGGCCTCCTTTAGGTACTGGAAGCATTGTACTTCCTGAAGAGTGATGAAAGTAGTAATCCTGAGGTAAAAAATATTGAAAATCTCACCCCAGATTACACAAATGTGCCCAAAACAGTCCAATTTATTTATTTAGAACTTTCCTCAGCGCCAGAGCTTTCCCCCTTCCAGTTTACACTCCCAGGCCTACTTTCCCCTTGGAATTCCCATGCGCGGCCTAAGGCGATTCCCACTTTCTACTCCACCTTCCCACAACCACCTTGCGAGACCCGTCTCCCGCTCTATCAGCTCTTTCTGCCTAGCCCCGTTAACTCCCCGCAATCTCCTTTGTCTTTGCACTGCTCTCCTCGCCGTTGGCTCCCCTCCGGCAGTCCCCTGTGGTGCTTATCTACAGCGTGACCGACACCGCGAAGGCCTCGCGTTCAGACGCCCTGCAGCCTCCCGCATTCTCTTTGTAAACGCTGTGCACACATTTGCAGCCGGGATAAGCCACGAAAGACCCGATCTCCCGAAACAACCCCTGGGGCAGCGACATCACCCCGCCCGCCTTACGACAGGCGCCTCAACGAGCCCGCCCCCTCCCCTCCCTTGACTCCGCGCTTTGGTCACGCACATTCGTCACACACGCGGAATTAGAACCCCTGCTGTCTAGCAACAGGGGTGTTGGTGCCAGACGCCGCGCTGCACTGCTAGCAGCGCGGAGGTCTTTCCGCATCGCTCCGCTTTTTTCTTTCGATTTTTCCACTTGGGCTGTGAAAAGCGACGAATCTGCGGGGTGCTGGAAGCCGGCCGAGCTCTACTCCACCAGCGGAAGCGGAAGATTCGCCATTTTGTTTCGGGTGATGGCGACTGTGGTGCTGTGGAGCTGGGGAGTTTAGCGCGGGCCCGGTGTCGCTGGGGACTCGCCTCTCGGACAGTCGCTGTTGCTGCGGGTTTCCTCCTCCTCGCCGCAGCCCCCGCTGATGTACGGAGGGGGCGGAGGTTCTCGACGGACTGCAGAAGAAGCAGGCCCGCCGCCCCTAATGTTGTTGTCAGGCGGGGGAGCGGTGCCGGGGCCCCCCGGAGGAGGTGGAGGAGGAGGTGGATGTGGGAATAGCCGTGTGGAGCTGCTGGTGTTCGGCTATGCCTGCAAGCTGTTTCGAGATGATGAGAAGGCTCAGTACCAGGAGCAGGGGCGACACCTTATTCCTTGGATGGGAGACCCCAAGATCATGATCGATAGGTCGGTGTAACACAACCCCCAGACTCTGCTGCGAGATCTCCTGTTATAGCCTCTTTCTGTTCCTCCCCTTGTGCTGTTGGGCAAGTGAGGGCGGGGGATGAACAAAGGGCTCACTCTGGCAAACTTGTGGAGAGTTTCTTCACTGTAGAGCTGGAGGGCAGCTCCTCCTGATAGAGTGCTTCGAGTGCTGCTTCGGTAACGCTGCAGGGCTGTCCCTCGGCAGTGGGAACTTGGGGTTCCTGCTTTGGTAGTGTTGGGAAGGTCCCTTCCTGACACATGGTGTGTGTTGGGCCTATCTGCTGCACTGGTTAGGCTAGGGTTTGCAGGGCCGAGTGGAGAGGAGGAATGGTCTCTTCGTTTTCAATGCAAACCACATCATGTCTTCTTACTTGGAAACCAAGGGAGCCTTAGTGCATGGGAATACATCTTAGGCACTTTAAGTGTTCTCTAAGCGAGAACAGTGCAGTATGAAGAGCAGAGAGGTATTTATCCCTGTGTGGGGAAATGGTGTTTTCTTATTTTTCCTATGTAATCCGGCTGCAGGCTGTTGTTGGGATGCCCGAAAAGTAATTCTTGGCCTAGTAAGTTTTTCCATGTGCCATGATGCACTTGGGCAGAATAGCTCTGATTTTGGATGCTTGTTTAACAAATTTATTGTCAGGAGTGGCTTTTTTTGTTTGTTGTTGTTTTGCAGTAGGTGCAGGTTCAGAGCCAGAGAGGAACAGAATCTGCTTTGATGTTTCTTCTGGTTTCCTTAAGTTGTTTCAGCAATGTAGGGTGGGACTTAGAAATAAATCAATTCAGAATGAATTTTCTGGGTATTTTCCTGGAGAGGGGTAAAATGGGAAGTCAGGTTGGGTATATTTGCATGGAGCACTGAAAGTACAAGTTAAGAGTTGTGGCAGACCCTGAAAACCTCAGTGGGAAAGGTGGAAGGATTTTGGTTTGAAAAGGATCACATGACATACTATAGATATTTGCTCCCTCAGTTTCATCTTGCTTTGGTGCTGTACCTGATTCTTACTCTTTTGATTTAACAATTACATTTGGTTTAGATATCAGTAAGAGAACGTCTTTTCATTTCCTTCTGTAAGACTGGAGAAAAAAGAGAGGGCCCTAAATTAGTTTATGCCATTAATGATGTTTATGATTAATTTGTGAAGTTGAAATGCACACAAAGATGTGAAAAAGCAAACAAATGTTTTTAGCTATGTTTAGTTTCTTATGTAGGTGAGAGTGGAAGTGTTATGATGCGCATTTCTAAGCAAAATCACTTTTGTGACCAATTTCATTAGTAGGTAGAGGCTGGTTTTTGTGATCCTGTGCAACAGTAACCCAATTTACAGGTGTTAAAGAAATTGCTGGGAGCAAAAACTAAGTATGTGCATGTATGTGCATATAATATTGAAAAATCTAAACGCAAATCTGTAAATTAAGGTAGCTTGCAATTACTAATCTTACAAACTCCTTTGGAGGCTTAGAGTCCTTTTATCTCCAGCAGCAGGAAGTTTTCTTTTTCACCATTTTGAGAAAAGCACATTGCTATGAGAAGACATGGGTTGAAGTTTGCCTGTGGACAGAGCTTGATTAACCAGACCTACGTGTTTCATTAACTCTTTGCTATAAGAATATTTACTTTCTTTGTTTTTGGTCTAGCAAGTTGGCACAAGTCAAGAGTTGTGTGTGGGAAGACACCTCAGCGGAGTCGAGTTTACTGTCACTTTACTTTCCAATCAGTTTCTCTGAAAACATTATCCCAATGCAGTGCTTTTCCTGCAAATAAAATGATTTCTGCTTAGTAGAAAGGAACTGTACATCATTGATCTTTGCCGTTTTTACGGTGAACCTCCTTAAATTGCATGTATATGTTACTGTTCCTATGTATGTGTGTCTCTCTATCACATAACCCAGAACTTATTTCCTCAGCCAAATGGCTAGGGGCCGAGCCTAGCCATGATTTTACCTCCAATGGACGCAAGTTTCTATGGTGAAGATATCTCCTGAGAGTTCGGGACTAGCAGAAAGAAGCGAGGAAATTTCGACCGTTTGGTTCTTACGGATAGGTATTTATGTACTCGGGTTTGTGTGAATGTAAGCTATTTGACTTTCCAGAAAAACGTATTTTGCAAGTGACATTGATTGGTTGGTTGAAGCACGTACGGTAAGAGCTGTTAAGGAAATGGATCCCACGTAAATCTATTAAAGGATAGCTTTGCCTTTAATTGTAATAATTTACTAGTTTCTTTGAGAGGAATTTAGACTATTAAATTTTCAATAGTTGGTGACAAATGATTAGCAAAATTAAACTTAACTTCTAAAAGGAAATGTACTTTAACATATAAGTATTTTTGTTTCATTTTTAATGGGTAAGTATTTAAGTAGTCACCTAAACTCAAGCCCTAAGTTCTCTGTATTGACCAGCTGTTTCATCCTGCAGGTACGATGGACGTGGTCACCTGCATGACCTTTCTGAATATGACGCTGAATATTCCACATGGAACAGAGATTATCAGTTATCTGAGGAGGAAGCTAGAATAGAAGCCCTCTGTGATGAAGAGAGGTATTTAGCCTTGCATACGGACTTGCTTGAGGAGGAGGCGAGGCAAGGTATTGCTCAAGGAAACTTCCTGAGTTTAGCACATGTTTAAATAAATATTTATGAAATTAAATTTACTCCTAATTTTTATACTCTCTTTTTTCTGATGTTATCTTGACAGTACCCAGTGGATTCGAAAAACGGGAGTCTTTGCGTATGTGAGAGGACCTCAGGATAGTTTAAATATAGATCCACACAGAAATTGCCCAGATGCTGAGGGCAGACTGGGATTTCAGACCCCCAAAACCCCAAAATAAGCACATTCGGCTTCATTTTTAGTGTTGTATAAACGAAATTCTGTGCTCTTGTATGCATAACTACATTAGAATGTTTTAACCTGCAGCCTTTATCTCTTCAGGAAGAAATAAATAGCATATGTACATGCTGTTTTCTATTCAGTTTTTAGCATAAAAGGTAAAATAATTAGGTGAAAACTTCCCATTTAAAAACTAAAGTAGGAAAATTCCCTTTTTTTTTTTTTTTTAAGGAATTGGCTTTTAAATATGTTCTAATGCTTGGTAATTTCATTTTTATTCAAGAGGAGGAATATAAAAGATTGAGTGAAGCTTTGGCAGAGGATGGTACCTATAATGCAGTGGGATTCCATTATGGCAGTGATTATTATGACCCTTCAGAACCCACTGAGGAGGAGGAACATCAGCCTGCAAAACAAAGAGGTAAGGGGGGGAAAAATAGCAAAGGTTAATTGAGAGCAAGAACATAGCACCTCTGTGTCTGTCACTTGCAGCTGAAGGTCGAAAATGTGTTTCATTAAAATGCAAGTAGAAATCTGAAAGTATTTGAGATAAGAATATGTATTTTTGTAAGTTTAGATTTTGCCATCCTAATTACTGTTGAGTCTGTCTTCAACATAGTGTGCCCTTCTCTGTGATCTTAAAAAGTGCAGAATTCAGGTTCTCATATTCCCATCTTTAATTACAG